TAGGCAAATATTGAACACAACCAATAATCCTTGACATCAAAAGGAGGCTGACAATCATTTGCATCATGGAATAGGGCAGGCTATGGGTCTCAAATGCTTTTCATACACAAAAACATTGCACAGGTGAAGTGTAACAAATTAATATTTTGAAATTAATTCTAAAGCATGAAATACCGAGAATCTCATTGCCGATCAGCGGATAGGTACTCATTACAGTAGGATACCTCATCACAGTGGGATGCCGTTCCTTCTGTTGCCAGAGAAAAGCTGTACCTATTGCGTGCCGACCCAGTCTAATGCTTGTCAGCGGCCAACAACTTCACTTTGAGCCAACTAGAGAGCACGAACGGGGGGGAAATTGGGCATTTTGAGGCAGTCACACTTCATATGCAATTTAGGCTATGGGAATGTAGTGTAGTTAGCTAACTAAGTGCACACAACACTAAATAATTCCTCCAAGGTAGCTAACCACTGTAACTAGTAGTCATAATTCAATCACAATGGATTAGTTAGCTGCCGAGTTAGTCCAGTGTCTTTAGCTAGCTAGCTCATTGTGCTAGCTGGTGAATATGCCAAGGTTAGCTAGTTAAACATTTGGCTATGGGATTATGGAGAGTGAATTAAATTGTGTTTTCGTGATCTTGCTAGGTAGTTAACTAGCTCGTATCAACAAGGGCTTTCGTTAGTCCAGTGTCCTTAGCTAGCTAGCTCAGTTGTGCTAGCTAGCGGATTTGCTAGCTAACTAGCTAGCTAAACAGTTGGCTATGGGGATTATGGAGAGTGAATTAAATTGTGTCTTCGTCATCTTGCTATGTACTAGTTATCTAGCTAGTACCAACAAGGGCTTTCCACAAAATAACAACATTAGCGCAGATAGCTAGACCATAAGCACGGATATGAATAGCCAAACTAGCCGGTGCCCCCGCACATTGACTCTGCACCGGTACCCCCCTGTATATAGCCTCCCTACTGTTATTTTATTTTACTGCTGCTCTTTAGTTATTTGCTTTATTTTTTACTTAACACTTTATTTATTTTTAAATCTTTAAAAAATGCATTGTTGGTTAAGGGCTTGTAAGTAAGCATTTCACTGTAATGTCTACACCTGTTGTATTCGGCGCATGTGGCAAATAAAATTTGATTTGATTTTAAACAACGCTACTTTCTGGTTTGGAGTATTTTAACAAGGCTGAGTGGCTGACGAGGTCTTTGCTGTGTGAACACAAAAGAGATTGACTGCTGACACCATTCAGAGGTGCTAAATACTGTGCAGGCAAACGTTTGACAATCCTACCAGTGTGTCGGAGCTTTAATGCATGAATCGCAAATTAATGAAATACATGCCTATGCTGTGCGTTTGAGCAATGAGAAGAACGCACCTGTATGTTGTGCTATGGCATGTCTCTCTGACACCTTGGTAGGAAGTCGACTCCAAAATAATCGATTCCCATTTCTGGGTGTCAAGCTTCGATTCCACAAGGAATCGACTCATAAGATTCAGTATTTTTGCAACGGAGGAAACTATTTCCCGTAGTCTATTTCGAGAACACAAGCTCTCGCATCTTTCACAGCAAAGAAAGAAAGAGCGAGCTAGCTAGCATGAGAGAGAGAATGTAGAGCCACTCCAGGCATGTCGGCCGCTAGGCAGACCGTCAGAGCGACTTACAGTTAGTGAGTGCACACATTTTCATACTGGGCCCCCGTGGGAAACGAACCCACAACCCTGGCGTTGCAAGCGCCATGCTCTACCAACTGAGCTACAGGGGCAATTTGGAAAAACAAATCGTCCTCTGGAATAACGCACATGCTTGGATAATTACAAAACCAACGTCTCTAGTAATACCCGTTCGAATAGGGCTATGACATGGCAAAGAGTAGGCTTATCAGCGTAGAGTGCGCCGCATCATCCCATGGGATCCGTCAAGGCTGCACATTGCAGAAATGTCACTCAAATATTCAAGTTCCTACACATCACCTTATATATTCAAACAAAATAGGTACTTTATAGGAAAATGGGCAGCATCATGCTAATGTCAGTCCTCTAGAACGCAAATGTAATCTTCCTAGTAGGACTCTGCAATGAGGTGGTATGTGCGCATCCGTTTCAGCGTGTTTTGGGAGTCAACCAAAAATCCAGGAGTCGTGCACCACTACTGATACCTTGCCTAAACAGATTTACCATGGTTACTCCATGGATTTTCAGTCTGACCTAAATCCCCCAAAAAAATTATCTACAAGCAAGAATATTGAATAAAATTACACTTTAATTATTGTACATGCTGTTGGTCCTTTTGACAGTAGGAGGTGGAGATAGGGTATCCACAGGAAAGTGTTGTTTACTCGAACTTTTACAGAACCGGTAGGTTGTGTCACTTGTATTTTCAATCTCTTGCATTGCATGTGATGCACAATATGTAAACAATAGCCGACTGTAACCAAACGTAGGCGACCGAAGCACGTTTCCTCATAATCTGCTGGAAGTGTTTGCCACAATATTGTGAAAGTGTTTGTCACATGCGAATTGCATCAGTATTGAAAATACAAACCGATATACAGACCAACGTACTGAAGGTCGGGATTATAACACTTCCCTGTGTATTTTGTATCAGATTACTGCAGACACGGGTAAAGTAAATGTAAATTAAGTTTGTTCAACATTCTGACTTGTAATGGGACTGTTCGGGAATGCTGAGCCTACATGTTAGAGACAAGTGGAAAAGTATTTCACTCTCGGATTCTAAAAAAAATTGATTTGAAAAAAGAGGCACCTACACCGCATCATTAAATTCCCAGCACCTCTCAATCAAGAGAACCAAAGACCGTACACAGACAGTCCTTAAAAATAAGAAATAATACACTAACATTTAACTAATGCTCAGAGAATGCATAAGCCACAACATAAGTGACAAAAAGTGTTAGCCTACTTTACTGTGCTTTTTTGAGGACAGTTATTGGATTTTGTTAACAGTAGCTAGGTTTCCATCCAATTGGCGACAGATTTTCATGCGAATACTCTAGAATCCACATAGCGAAAATATGCGCATTTTCCCAGTGGTGCTTTTCCACCAAATTTACTTTTTGCAGATAAAAATCAGTGCGTGATGATGTAGTGCACACAAAATGTACTTTTTCGCTTAAGTTTTCATGTACTGAATGAAAATCTTACATTTAAGTCATTTAGCAGAAGCTCTTCCCCAGAGCGACTTACAGTTAAGTGAGTGCATACATTTATTCATACTGGCCCCCCGTGGGAATCGAACCCACAACCCTGGCGTTGCAAGCGCCATGCGCCATTTTCAACTCTACCAATATTTATGTCACAAAAACTGTTGCGTTAAATAGCAAATGTGCCTACTCTGGTCTTGGCATGTCCGCTCTAGCCAACAGCTCGCTGATACAGTGCAGGTATAGGCTGTGATGAGATTATTATGGATAAGCGCGAGAAAAATATATTTGTCAAACGGAAGTCAAGCATCGATCATCATGTCACCAGAATAGGACTCAATATTTATTGGAAAGGAGCATCAAGATCACAGTGCACTTTCACTACCCTGTGAAGTTCATAATTTACTTAATCTGTAGCCTAATAAACTGCATGGTTTCCGGAGTCGTAGTGGGAGGACCACACACCATATCATCGCGTGACTCCAAGTTTACTTCAATTTGATGGTTATTATATCAATATTTGCGCATAAAGGCGTTTCCGCTGTCATTTCTCACATAATTAATTTTACAGACACAAAAAGATCCCACCATGTCGAACTAACAAATTATCTGTCAGCATTGATAAAATTGTACCGAAACTTCCTGTTTCCATCACAGCGGTCATGATAAAAACATTTTATACAGTATGACTTTACTCGCATAAAAAAAAAAAACTGTGGATGGAAACATACATCTCTGTTTTGTTACAGCAGTACCAGAATTCCAAACTAAGGCACTAGCACCTGAGGACAACAGTAAGCTACTGTTCGATATCAAGATCTATTGTGAGTAATGCAAATGTCTCTGAGAACCGAGTCATGGTCGAAAAACACTATGTACATTCAATCATAGAATATGGAATAGGTCCACTCAAAACCACCGGTTAACTGTTGGAATGTCCTTCTGAAATGTATCCACATATCAAAATTGTGAACGCTGAGGAGCTCAGCAATTCAAATTCTCACTCCGTTACATCCAGAGGGGCAAAAATAATAATAATACCGACAAAATCCTGTGATAAATTGATCCATCAAATATCCCTCTGAAAGTTCTGTTGTAAAAAAAGAAATAAAATAAAAAGTTCCGCTCGCCAGCATCTAAGAGTGCAATTGTAGAATGGAGCGAGGATGTCAATTAATGAAAAAGTATACTTTTTTTTTCTTCTTCACTAAATCCATATTTTGGATGCAAATGGCCAAATGCCCAGACACTTTTTTTTGCGATATCACTTGTTTTTGAGAAACTTACCCCAACCAATGATAATCTTCCTCATGCTCGTTCTGCAGTGGCAGTGTGGATAAAAGCAACAAAAAAAAAACACACCCAAATATGTTAAACTTTATCCACAACGTTATATTCCATTTGATGCGACTCGAGTGGTTTAACCTATCCATCTGTGCTGCTCCATGTTAGCCCTCGCATGCGCAAACGGAAAAGTATTGTGGGCTACACGCAGAAGTATCTCTCGAGTCGCACAAAATTTAATAAAACGTTGCGGATAAAGTTCTAAATTACACAACATCTAAAAAGGACGTATTTGGGTGATGTTGGAGCTTTTGTTCATTTTTTTCACGCGCTGTCACTGCAGAACAAGCACGAGGAAGTCTATCGCTTGTTGGGGTAAGTTTTGCAAGAAAAGTGTCTGGGCACTTCTAACATGCCATTTACATCCAAAATATAGATTCTTTAAGTGTTCAAGCAGTAAAGGGGTTATCAATGCTCGTATGGATGACTTACACTAGTGCTAGTATGGAGCAGCACTAGTGTAAGTCACCCTAGAGCAGCACTAGTGTGAGTCACTCTAGGGGAGCAGCAGATATACACAGGTTGTTTAAGGCACAGGCAACCTGCACAATCTTATCAAAGGTGAAAATGTTGGATGACCGCTCAGCGGCCGTGAAGGGGATCTCCACTGGGCCGGTCAGCATGGAGTACCTTAGCTTCACCATGGAGACAACCCTCTCCACATGCCTCCGCACACTCAGCCTATCTGGGGAAATGTCTGTCAGCGAGACACCTTCGCTCCCTTCAGACCCCTCTCCGCCATGGCAGCCTGTGATTTTCAGCAGGGCACCACGGGCCGCCACCGACTTACCAATGTCCAAATCCTTATCGGCCAGGACCACGTCTCCTGGGAGGAGCTTGCCCAGGAAGCCACAACCCTCTGCCAGGCTCTTGTCGCTGACACTCCCTGGCGACCCCCTGGAGACGAAAGTGACCACGCCCTGCGGGGCCATGCCTATCATGTATTTCAGAGTGTTGCTCCCTGCCGACGCCCCCTGCTGGTTCAAGTCAATTCAAGGAGCAATTTTTTCTGGGTTTAAATAATGACAAGCAGACAACATATAACAACAGGATACATTTACCACAGCATATATCATATATCCCAAATTAGACAGGACAGATACTCACACACAACAAGTTTCCTTCTGACACGGGTTTCTCCAGGGTCACCCTGAAGCAGTCTATGATCACGGCACAGTCAGGGTAGGTCGAGCAGAGAGCTGCCGGGAGGTTCTTGCGGAGCTCAGCCCTGGAGGGCCAGAAGACAGCCGTGGGTACCAGCGTGGTGGACATGACGTTAACCATTCTGAGCACCGTCCTGGTCACCGTGCCAACCTTCACGCCGAAGCGGTAGGCCAAATCCTGGTTCCTGAGGTCAAGCCGGAGGCGCATTAGTGTCAGCAGCAGTTGCTGAAACTTGGAGAGCTTGACCATGTTCTTGGTCCCGTTCATGTGTGGCGCGAGGAGCCACATGACCGTCTCAAATACAAAGTAGTTGGGCAAGCCAGTGTAAAACCTGACCTTCTCTGGGTCGTTCCGGAATGAGGTCTCTGAGAGTGACATTTTATCCACAGACTCCCGGAGAGCCCGGTTCTCCTTCTTCAAGGTCTTGAGCATGTCCTCATAGTTGTCGGGCTCGGTGGCTGACCTTTTGGCTGGCTTCCCTCCCCTGCCTTTGCTGTCGCTTGACACTGGTTCAGATTCCTCACCATCTTCATTGGTAGAGGATGAGGATGCACTCTGGGCCACGTCATGGTCCTCCTGGCTCGGTCTCTGGTCGACCAGAGACCTGCCCTGGCCCTGCAGGAAGAGCAAGGCGTTGGCCGCCTCCACCTGGGCTTCCTGCTTGTCTGAGATTTCAAAGGCTGCGGTCTCTTCCTTAATTTCCGACTCCAGGTATAGGGGAGCTGATGTAAATACAGAGGGAACATAGTCTGGCGAGCGTGGATTCTTCACCTGTTTACCTGGAGTTGAAGAAAAAAGGGAGAAAGTTTCGTGAGGCATCATGGACAAACACAATCACATTGCAACATACAGCTGCAGTGATATCTTCTAGTAAAAAAAAGTTAAGAATAGCAGTAAAGTTTTATATGGTGGTCAGGTGATGGTTGAGAGAACTTCAAAAGTGAATTGAACGGCAAAATGCTCATTCATGCACTGTTTTATTGACAACGTTGGCTGCGTACCTGAGATGAAATGAGTACTACACAGCCTGCTCCCGTCTTTTGGCAGCCAGCCTTCTCGGTTCACAGCAGCTATCCAACGCTGCTTTCTGTCGGGATCGCGTGGGAAACGGTAAAAAGACAATGCGGTGCCAGGTATTCTTCTATTCCGACAGCCAGTCACCACGCATGTGTGTACCATAATAAAGCCCAAAAGGTATTGGTGGTATTCCCAATACTATTCTGACTCCCAAAATGGTGGCTGTTGGCAAACGAGTAAAGGGACTTTTTGTGTCCTCGTTGTACATTTTCAGTGTTGTGATTGGTCGAGGAGGCTCGTTTTACACCCATTTGTCCGACGTCATCAGCACGCGACTAGTATTTATTTTCTGCTGCTACCGTGTCTAACGTTACTCGTTGAAAGTTCCATTTAAAATTTGGCTAAATTATCAAACGCTGTCAAGAATGGCTGTGGAATCAAGAGTCACACAAGAAGAAATTAAGAAAGAACCTGAAAAACCTGTCGACAGAGAGAAGGTAGCTACTAGCTAACCAACTGCATTTGGATAATGTTAGTTCGCAACGCTAGTTACAGCTAGCTGGCTGGTTAGTTAGGTTTTGAGCAATGGTTTATATACACTAGATTACCGATAGGGGGCGCTATGTTGAAGCCACCGTGCCTCCATCTTGGCGCTCCCCCACCATCGTAAAACATATTTTGGAACCTATAGAAATTGATTTATTAATGTCTACATTCGTTTTTGCCACATTTATTATATTAGACACCTTAATGCATAATATAAAATTGTGAGCTAAACATAAAAATAAACATTTTCCTTAAAGTATACGTTTTTGATGACTAATGTTACTGTCCCCACTATAACAACAAAATACATGTAATTGTGACCTTGAAACATTTTAATTGAAATACTGTAGAATTCCATTAATTCCTATGGAGGACTGCTCCTACTGGGGAGTGACAATATGGCCAACTGGTGGCTTCCATGCCTCTCGATGGCCAATACATAGCATCAGCAATCCAGGGTTTATATACATCATTGGTTTTGAGGTGCTCATGCCATGTTGTTCTGTTAGCTAGACTGAAGACTTGTGCTACCTTCCTACAGACATTTGATCCAGCTATGCTATAACATACAATGAGGGAAAAAACTATTTGATCCCCTGCTGATTTTGTACGTTTGCCCACTGACAAAGACATGATCAGTCTATAATTTTAATGGTAGGTTTATTTGAACAGTGAGGGACAGAATAACAACAAAAAAATCCAGAAAAACGCATGTAAAAAATGTTATAAATTGATTTGCATTTTAATGAGGGAAATAAGTATTTGACCCCTCTGCAAAACCCTTGTTGGCAATCACAGAGGTCAGACGTTTATTGTAGTTGGCCACCAGCATTGCACGCATCTCAGGAGGGATTTTGTTCCACTCCTCTTTGCAGATCTTCTCCAAGTCATTAAGGTTTCGAGGCTGACGTTTGGCAACTCAAACCTTCAGCTCCTTCCACAGATTTTCTATGGGATTAAGGTCTGGAGACTGGCTAGGCCACTCCAGGACCTTAATGTGCTTCTTCTTGAGCCACTCCTTTGTTGCCTTGGCCGTGTGTTTTGGGTCATTGTCATGCTGGAATACCCATCCACGACCCATTTTCAATGCCCTGGCTGAGGGAAGGAGGTTCTCACCCAAGATTTGACGGTACATTAGCAGAAAAACACCCCCAAAGCATAATGTTTCCACCTCCATGTTTGCCGGTGGGGATGGTGTTCTTGGGGTCATAGGCAGCATTCCTCCTCCTCCAAACACGGTGAGTTGAGTTGATGCCAAAGAGCTCGATTTTGGTCTCATCTGACCACAACACTTTCACCCAGTTCTCCTCTGAATCATTCAGATGTTCATTGGCAAACTTCAGACGGGCCTGTATATGTGCTTTCTTGAGCAGGGGGACCTTGCGGGCGCTGCAGGATTTCAGTCCTTCATGGCGTAGTGTGTTACCAATTGTTTTCTTGGTGACTATGGTCCCAACTGCCTTGAGATCATTGATAAGATCCTCCCGTGTAGTTCTGGGCTGATTCCTCACCGTTCTCATGATCATTGCAATCCACAAGGTGAGATCTTGCGTGGAGCGCCAGGCAGAGGGAGATTGACAGGTCTTTTGTGTTTCTTCCATTTGCGAATAATCGCACCAACTGTTGTCACCTTCTCACCAAGCTGCTTGGCGATGGTCTTGTAGCCCATTCCAGCCTTGTGTAGGTCTACAATCTTGTCCCTGACATCCTTGGAGAGCTCTTTGGTCTTGGCCATGGTGGAGAGTTTGGAATCTGATTGATTGATTGCTTCTTTGGACAGGTGTCTTTTATACAGGTATCAAGCTGAGATTAGGAGCACTCCCTTTAAGAGTGTGCTCCTAATCTCAGCTCGTTACCTGTATAAAAGACACCTGGGAGCCAGACATCTTTCTGATTGAGAGGGGGTCAAATACTTATTTCCCTCATTAAAATGCAAATCAATTTATAACATTTTTGACATGCGTTTTTCTGTATTTTTGTTGTTGTTATTCTGTCTCTCACTGTTCAAAAAAACCTACCATTAAAATTACAGACTGATAATTTATTTGTCAGTGGGCAAACATACAAAATCAGCAGGGGATCAAATACTTTTTTCCCTCACTGTACCTGATTCAACTTTCCAGCTGCTTCGCAGGACCTTGATTTGTTGAATCAGGTGTTATAGGGCTGGAGCAAAAGCCTGCACACCCAGTAACTCTTTAGGTGGAAGATTGGCCACCCGTTACTTTTTCAAACAGTGGGTGGCATAAAGAAATTCCTACGGCTTTGTACTCAGCGGCAGGCTTGCATGTATTGGAGTTCTGATGATTGTGTCGGAATCAATGTGTGTAAAAATTTGCCTACAGACGTGTCCACTTCTACTGCGAGTTTTCACCACCACCAATGGCAGACATCACAGGATGGATGAGTTTGGTAGAGGGAACGTTCCTTCCAGCGAGCTCCAGATTTACACCTGGTAAGACTATCAATTACCAGCTGTTCAGAGTAGACACTAAATTAGATGGTGTCGGTCAGAATACCAAAAATTACATTCAAAAGCTGTCCCTCCCCTTTGTTTATGAAACTGTATTTAATTTAATTCAGGTTGGACGCTACGCTGAAAGAGCTCACAAGTCTTGTGAAAGAAGTCTACCCTGAAGCTCGGAAAAAAGGCACACATTTTGGCTTTGCCGTAGTCTACCCGGAACCTAAGCGACAAGGTTACAGGTAACTGATGATTTTCATTCACAGAACTGCCCTGTAATATTATAATTTTTTGTAAACATTTTTAGTCATTTAGCAGACGCTCTTATCCAGAGCGACTTAGTTAGTGAGTGCATACATTTTTCATATCAATGAACAGCCACAGAAAACACTGTTAATATGGTTCCTATTGGTTTGTTTCAGGGTAAAGGATATAGGCAACACATTGTCTGGACGGAAGGGTCCAGATGATGCCATGACCTTACAATCACAGCGATTTCGGATTGGAGACTACCTGGATATCGCCATCACCCCTCCCAACAGAGCACCCCCTCTACCAGGGCGCATGAGACCCTATTGATACCAGAGGGCCTGCCTAGTTTAAAAGGTCCCCCAATCGTATAATAGGAGTAGGAGATCAGTGTTCTTTCTACTGATGTTTTTTTTTTAATCATCAAATTGTGTTCAAGTACAAATCGATAGTACTACCATGTCCTCCTTTGGGAATGTTTTGAATTAAAATGTTTCATTTACAATTGGTGTATGCGTTTTATAATGCTGATTTGTAATTCAGCTAGATTGTTGCGAAGATCTCTCAATCCTAAACTAAGCCATCATGCTCATAATTATGTATTTATTAGTGAGGTCATATAGATGGAGAGATATACATCTATCTAGCTAGGCTTTCCACTAGATGTTGGACCATTGCTGCGGGTACTTGCTTCCATTCAGCCACAAGCGCATTAGTGAGGTTGGGTGATTAGGCCTGGCTCACAGTTGGCGTTCCAATTCATCCCAAATGTGTTAGATGGGATTGAGGTCAGGGCTCTGTGCAGACCAGTCAAGTTCTTCCACACCGATCGCGACAAACCATTTCTGTATGGACCTCGCTTTGTGCCCGGGGGCACTGTCATGCTGAAACAGGAAAGGTCCTTCCCCAACTGTTGCCACAAAGTTGGAAGCACAGAATCGTCGTAAGATGTCATTGTATGCTGTAGCGTTAAGATTTCCCTTCACTGGAACTAAGGGGCCTAGCCCGAACCATGAAAAACAGCCCCAGACCATTATTCCTCCTCCACCCAACTTTACAGTTGGCACTATGCATTGGGGCAGGTAGCGTTCTCCTGGCATCCGGCAAACCCAGATTTGTCCATCGGACTGCCAGATAGTGAAGCATGATTCATCATTCCAGAGAACGCGTTTCCACTGCTCCAGAGTCCAATGGTGGCGAGCATTAGACCACTCCAGCCGACGCTTGGAAATTGTGCATGGTCATCTTAGGCTAGTGTGTGGCTACTCGGCCATGGAAACATATTTTGTGAAGCTCTTCAGTAAGGCCATTCTACTGCCAATGTTTGGAGATTGCATGGCTGTGTGCTCGATTTTATACACCTGTCAGCAACTGGTGTGGCTGAAATAGCCAAATCAACTAATTTGAAGGGGTGTCCACATACTTTTTTATATATACATTCCATTCGGAAAGCATTCAGACCCCTTCACTTTTTCCACATTTGGTTACGTTACAGCCTTATTCTAAAATGGATTAAATAAACATTCTCATCAAGCTTCTATCTTAAGGCCATCAGACTGTTAAATAGCTAGCACTAGCACATTAGAATACCTCATAATGACAAAGCGAAAACAGGTTATTATAATATTTAGCAAATTTTTTACAAATAAAGAACTGAAATACCTTATTTACAACCTTTGCTATGAGACTCGAAATTGAGCTCAGGTGCATCCTGTTTCTATTGATCATCCTTGAGATGTTTCTACAACTTGATTGGAGTCCACCTGTGGTAAATTCAATTGATTGGACATGATTTGGAAAGGCACACACCTGTCTATATAAGGTCCCACAGTTGACAGTGCATGTCAGCGCAAAAACCAAGCGATGAGGTCGAAGGAATTGTCCATAGAGCTCCGAGACAGGATTGTGTCGAGGCACAGATCTGGGGAAGGGTACCAAAACAATCTCTGCAGCATTGAAGGTCCCCAAGAACACAGTGGCCTTCATCATTCTTAAATGGAAGAAGTTTGAAACCACCAAGACTCTTCCTAGAGCTGGCCGTCCGGCCAAACTGAGCAATCGGGGGAGAAGGGCCTTGGTCAGGGAGGTGACCAAGAACCCGATGGTAACGCTGACAGAGCTCCAGTGCGTTCGGAAAGTATTCATTCCACATTTTATTACATTACAGCCTTATTCTCACTGACAGAGCTCCAGAGTTCCTCTGTGGAGATGGGAGAACCTTCCAGAAGGACAAACATCTCTGCAGCACTCCACCAATCAGGCCTTTATGGTAGAGTGGCCAGACGGAAGCCACTCCTCAGTAAAAGGCAGGTGATAGCCTGCTTGGAGTTTGCCAAAAGGCACCTAAAGACTCTCAGACTATGAGAAACAAGATTCTCTGGTCTGATGAAACCAAGATTGAACTCTTTGGCCTGAATGCCAAGCAACACATCTGGAGGAAACCTGGCACCATCCCTACGGTAAAGTGTGGTGGCAGCATCATGCTGTGGGAATGTTTTTCAGCGGCAGGGACTGGGAGACTAGTCAGGATCGAGGGAAAGATGAACGGAGCAAAGTACAGAGAGATCCTTGATGAAAACCTGCTCAGGACCTCAGACAGGGGCGACGGTTCACCTTCCAACTGGTTGAGAGAATACCAAGCGTGTGCAAAGCTGTCATCAAGATATATCTCTCTCTCTACTGGTCAAAAGTTTTAGAACACCTATTCATTCAAGGGTTTTTCTTTATTTTTTACGATTTTCTACATTGTAGAATGATAGTGAAGACATCAAAACCATAAAATGACACATGGAATCATGTAGTAACCAAAAAAGTGTTAAACAAATCAACATATATTTGAGATTCTTGAATAGCCACCCTCATGACGCTGATTTGAGAGAAGGACAAGAGTGTGCAAAGCTGTCATCAAGGCAAAGGGACAGCACCCGATGTCACAGGAAGGCAAAAAAGATCATCAAGGACATCAACCACCCGAGCCACTGCCTGTTCACCCCGCTATCATCCAGAAGGCGAGGTCAGTAGAGGAGCATCATAGCTGGGATTGAGAGACTGAAAAACATCTATCTTAAGGCCATCAGACTGTTAAATAGCCAGCACTAGCACATTAGAAGCTGCTGCCTATAGACATAGACTGGAAATCACTGGCCACTTTATGAAATAGAACACTAGTCACTTTAATAATGTTTACATATCTTACATTACTCATCTCATATGTATATACTGTATTCTATACTATTCTACTGTATCTTAGTCCATGCCGCTCTGTCATTGCTCGTCCATATATCTATATATTCTTAATTCCATTGCTTACTTAGATTTGTGTGTTTTGGGTATACGTTGTGAAATTGTTAGATATTACTGCACTGTCAGAGCTAGAAGTACAAGCATTTCGCTTCACCTACAATAACATCTGCTAAACACGTGTATGTGACAAATAACATTTGATTAGAAGAATCTCAAATAAAATATATTTTGATTTGTTTAACACTTTTTGGTTACATGATTCCATATGTGTTATTTCATAGTTTTGATGTCTTCCCTATTATTCTACAATGTAGAAAATAGTAAAAATAAAGAACCCCTTGGATGAGTAGGTGTTCTAAAACTTTTGACCAGTAGTATGTATGTATATATGAGAGAAGACGACTACAAAATTGCAAACTTGACTATTCATGCATTGGGAACAAAAGTACCTACACAATTAAAAGACTTAAGACGATTCAAACATTTATACAGTTGTCAAAGATTTTGGGCCTACTCAAAGGATGGTCAGTAAATGGGACCTCACTCAGTAGTGTTGAGTCCTTTGGGAGGTTTAAGAAGGTAGGGAATGTCATTGTAATTCCGATCAGGTATGTGTCTGTGACAGGACTTTGTACACGGCGCTGGTTCCAGCCTCTTCAGCTTGGTTAGACACAGGAAGTACATGGGGGGCCTCCTCCATCAGATACCCTGCAGGACCTGTCGCAACAGAGTCACAAGATGCATTTCTGTGGCACTGTTGATCTTCTGAATGGCCTGGTTGAGGCTGGACAGAGGAATCTGTCTCAGGTAGCTTGGAAGACTTTCTGACACCACGGCCAGACTGAGCCCTGGAGGGAAGCCTTTGGGCCATGGAGGAATGACAAAAAGAGAGCAGAGGTTTGACTAGTAATTAGTAAGTAAATCTATTGGAATTGGTGACGGTGTAACTCTTTTTAGGATATGTTATTAATAAACATATTCTACTTTCGTGTTGGCATTATCAGAGTTGACCTGTTCTGCTTCCCTGCTGCAGTGTGGAGGGTTGAAGTGGCTGAACTACTGCTGTGGGTTGTTTCTTGCTCTGGGAATTTTTTTATTGATTTATTTTTATTTCACCTTTATTTAACCAGGTAAGCCAGTTGAGAACAAGTTCTAATTTACAACTGTGACCTGGCCAAGATAAAGCAAAGCAGTGCGATTAAAAACAACACAGAGTTACATATGGAATAAACCAAACGTACAGTCAATAACACAATAGAAAATCCATATACAGTGAAATGAGCTGCAAGATGAAAGGCAAACCCGTCATCAGAACCAGTCAGCACAAAGGGGTCACTGAGGGGAGGTGTCCCTCCTTTCCTGCCTCCTGTTCCTCTACTCCCTCAGTGTCATCCTCTTGCTCTGAAGCTTCTGCCTCCTGGCGGTTCGGCTCTGTGTGAGAGACAAGATCTCTAGATAAACCAGCCGAGTTCAGGAGGGGAACATTTAGATATAAAGTAAACCAAACCAAATACTGAATATTTTGGATGTACTAAGTGAAGTGTTAAATAGATACTCTTTTACCTGTCTGTTTGTGTGTTCTTAGGTGCTTTGTAGACATATTTTTCCTAGTGTTTCATCAGTCTTTGTATGTCCTCTGCTTCAGCACCATACACATCTTTATGAAGCTCATCACCTCATTCTCCTCTGCCTGTTGGCGCACCAGCTGCTCCTTCACCTGGCCCTGGGCATGCACAACAAGCCAGTTATGTAAATCATTCTGTAAACATGTATACTAAATGAATCACATAGCTATTATTAACTACACAGCACTGTGCAAGCAGCTCATCAGGTGCCACATTGACAGTTACCTTGAGGCCCCTGACCTCCGAGTGCAGCTCATGCAGAACTCGCACCACACCCTCTGATCTGAAACACAATTTTACAGAATGTTACACAACACAGTGACAATACAGTAGAGGTGGACTGACTCAGGGTTCCCCAAACTCGGTCCTGGGACCGACGTCAACCTAAATTACAGTTGAGTGGAAGCAGAGAGGAAGGTTGCTGATTAGAGTGGTTTGAGGGAGTTGGAGGTTGGCTCTTCTGTGGTGATAAGGGATGTTCCTCCATGGTTACTCCCAGATCCTGTTGTTGATCTAACCTTGTTAGAGAAAAGGAAAGATTGGTCAGAAGTCAGTGATATAGGGAACTGGTTGACAATTACATTGGTATAAGTTATGGTTTTTTACCACTTTTCACAGATGGATCCAAGGACCCAGATAGTGGGTGCACAGGAGCAGGCATTTACGTTCCTGAATTTGATGTGCAGATATGTAGAAGACTAAAATATGAACTGTCATTATACTCAGTCGAAATGTTGGCGATAATAGTTGCCCTCCAGTGGGTGGAGGACATACAGTTGAAATCGGAAGTTTACATACACTTAGATTGAAGTAATTAAAACTCGTTTTTCAACCACTCCACAAATTTCTTGTTAACAAACTATAGTTTTGGCAAGTTGGTTAGGACATCTACTTTGCGCATGACACAAGTAATTTTTCCAACAATTGTTTACAGACAGATTATTTCACTTATAATTCACTGTATCACAATTCCAGTGGGTCAGAAGTTTACATACACTAAGTTGACTGTGCCTTTAAATAGCTTGTAAAATTCCAGACAATTATGTCATGGCTTTAGAAGCTTCTGATAGGCTAATTGACATCATTTGAGTCAATTGGAGGTGTACCTGTGGATGTATTTCAAGGCCTACCTTCAAACTCAGTGCCTCTTTGCTTGACATCATGGGAAAATCAAAAGAAATCAGCCAAGACCTCAGAAAAAAATGGTAGACCTCCACAAGTCTGGTTCATCCTGGGAGCAATTTCCAAACGCCTGAAGGTACGCAAGTATAAACACCATGGGACCACGCAGCCGTCAGACCGCTCAGGAAGGAGACGTGTTCTGTCTCCTAGAGATGAACGTACTTTGTTGCGAAAAGTGCAAATCAATCCCAGAACAACAGCAAAGGACCTTGTGAAGATGCTGGAGGAAACAGGTACAAAAGTATCTATATCCACAGTAAAACAAGTCCTATATCGACATAACCTGAAAGGCCACTCAGCAAGGAAGAAGCCACTGCTCCAAAACCGCCATAAAAAAGCCAGACTACGGTTTGCAACTGCACATGGGGACAAAAATCGTACTTTTTGGAGAAATGTCCTCTGGTCTGGTGAAACAAAAATAGAACTGTTTGGCCATAATGACCATCGTTATGTTTGGAGGAAAAAGGGGGAGCTTGCAAGCCGAAGAACACCATCCCAACCGTGAAGCACGGGGGTGGCAGCATCATGCTGTGGGGGTGCTTTGCTGCAGGAGGGACTGGTGCACTTCACAAAATAGATGGCATCACGAGGAAGGAAAATTATGTGGATATATTGAAGCAACATTTCACATTTTAGTCATTTAGCAGACGCTCTTATCCAGAGCGACTTACAGTTAGTGAATACATATTTTATTTTTTTCATACTGGTCCCCCGTGGGAATCGAACCCACAACCCTGGCGTTGCAAACGCCATGCTCTATCAACTGAGCTACATTCCTGCCGGCCATTCCCTCCCCTACCCTGGACAATGCTAGGCCAATTGTGCGCTGCCCATGAGTCTCCCGGTCGCGGCCGGCTGCGACAGAGCCTGGATTCGAACCAGGATCTCTAGTGGCACAGCTAGCACTGCGATGCAGTGCCTTAGACCACTGCGCCACTCAGGAGGACCAAGACATCAGTCAGGAAGTTAAAGCTTGGTCGCAAATGGGTCTTCCAAATGAACAATGACCCCAAGCATACTTCCAAAGTTGTGGCAAAATGGCTTAAGAACAACAAAGTCAAGGTATTGGAGTGGCCATCACAAAGCCCTGACCTCAATCCTATAGAGAATGTGTGGGCAGAACTGAAAAAGCGTGTGCGAGCAAGGAGGCCTACAAACCTGACTCAGTTACACCAGCTCTGTCAGGAGGAATGGGCCAAAATTCACCCAACTTATTGTGGGAAGCTTGTGGAAGGCTACCCGAAACATTTGACCCAAGTTAAACAATTTAAACTTCTGACCCACTGGGAATGTGATGAAAGAAATAAAAGCTGAAATAAATCACTCTACTATTATTCTGACATTTTACATTCTTAAAATAAAGTGGTGATCCTAACTGACCTAAGACAGGGAATTTTTACTAGGATTAAATGTCAGGAATTGTGAAAAAACTGAGTTTAAATGTATTTGGCTAAGGTGTATGTAAACTTCCGACTTCAACTGTACAACCTGTTAGAATTATAGTATGCTCAGATTCTGTCTGTATTGAATAGTTTATCATCTGGTAAATCTACTAGGAGTGACTTACTATTTGAGGTATTAATGTTATTATGGAGCATTGAGAGACTGGGTGTAGTAGTGAGATTCTGCTGGGTTCCAGCACATTCGGGTGTGGAAGCGAATGAAATTGTAGACCAGTTAGAGACGAGGCCAAATGTAAGATCAGAGTCATTCAAAGTTCCGATTACGAAGAAAGAGCTGGTGTTTGCTCGATTGTGCTTAGGACATTGTACATTGAACTCGTCATTACATCTGGTTGGCAAGCATGTGAATGGTTTGTGTCGATGAAACAGTGGAGTATGTGTTATATTGTTGTAAGTATGTTGAAGAGAGGGAAAGATTGAAGTGTAGGGTCATTGAGATTGGACGGAGTTGGAGGTTTGGAAGGGATTTTGGGGTTGGGGGAGGGTCTATTGGGGTTGGGGGAGGGTCTATTGGGGTTGGGGGAGGGTCTATTAGAAGTTAGTAGGGCTCTTTTTTATTTTCTCAGATGTACTGAGTTAGGTAGGAGGATTTAGAAATGTTGTAAACCGTGATTGACCACACACTCCAGCACAGTAGGTCGGCGGCATGCACCTTTAACGTTTGTTTGCGGACCGCCATTATATCATAGAAGAAGGGGCGAAGTGAGAGGGTCCACTCCAGTCAAAATATTATTGTTTATTTAACTTGGCATGTCCGTTAAGAACACATTCTTATTTACAATGACGGCCTACACCGGCCAAACCCAGACGACGCTGGGCCAATTGTGCGCCGCCCTATGGGACTCCCAATCACCGCCGTTTACGATTCAGCCTGGACTCTAACCAGGGTGTCTGTAGTGACGCCTCAAGCGCTGAGATGCAGTGCCTTAGACCGCTGCGCCACTCGGGAATACAGAGTTAAGTAGACCGCCTGCTTATCGGAGACCAATCTCGTCATTATATAGTTACTGTATCTCTGGTGGAAGTCTGTTTCATACCTTTTTCGTCGTAGTTCTGGTGTGCCTGCTGAAGACCGGCAGTTTCGGTCTCCGAGTTCACTGCTAGGTTTCGCAACTTTGCGAAAAAACGTGCCTACGAGTCTGTTAGCAGACTGGCTGGCTGTTTACATTCATACAAGTTCACACAGGAATTTGGCGCAACTTCCGGAAGTCGTTTTAGTATTTACTATTCAGGACTTTCCCCACGGATGAAGAGAAATCATCTCGAGCTAAATGCAAAGCTGCCACCTACCGTCCTTGACGATTAGATTCGTAAAAAAACAGAAATTAGCAAGGTCATTTTTGAAGAATTGTGTGGTGGACTGACAATCATCAATAAGAAAACTTCAAAGGCAATAGTTCATAACACACTTCAATATGAATATTTGTAACATTCATGACTAAAAAAATGTCTATCCATCTATTAATTTGCAATAAACTCACTTCCTTTACCTTTTTTAGCATGAGGACGATTAATAGAGCTGGGAGGTGGAGGAACCTTATCAGATCGCTGATTATGCTGGAGAGTATAAATACTGAGGAAACAGTGAAGGTCACCACAGACCTGACTAAGAAACATTCTGACAGGTGAGTAATGGATCATAGCAAGTTTAAATGTTATTCTGAATAGCATAATTATTTACACAAGATTATGGTTGGTGGATATTGGCCTTCTGTATCGACTACAGTGGTGTATTGGCCTATAATTATATGTATTTCTCTTGATTCCTCAGCATCAGAATCAGCCTGCTATTTCACACTTAATATTTAGTAAGTAAAACCATTTAGTTGTAGCCATGGCAATGTTTGGCAAGGTGCTGGAGCCGGTGGGCTACATGCAGACCATGAGGACCCTGGTGGAGGGCATCTGTACCTACCTGGGTGGCAGTGCCTCAGCTGAAGCGACAGACCTGGCCAGGAAGAACCTGGACTACATAGACCAGGAGCTGGGTGCTGCAGGGTCGGGCCTGCTGACAGACCAGGAGGTCCATCGCCTGGAGGACGACCTGGCCGTGGTCTACTACCAGCTGGGCGCGGTCGTCAGGGCCCAGCCTGAGTTCACCAAACGGGAGACAGAGGTGTTTCTCCAGTACGTTCAGGAGCACCGGCTGGAGAGGCAGCTGACGGCACTCCACAGCCGGCTGATGGGGGTGTCGGTCCTGACAGACCAGCCCACCCTGCTGGAAGAGCTGGTCCAGAGCCGCAAGCCCAAACGCTGGGAGATGAGGGAGTTCTGTGTCAAGGTCAGTGGGGGTCAGGGAGTGGTCAGCCATGAGCACACAATGCCCAACAGGCAACAGAGGTCATCATGTTACATTCTAAACATCTCTAACCAATGAATGTGTAAATCATTTGCACACAGTGCCTGAAGTTTAACAAAATGATCCATGGAGTTCAAAGAACAAAATTGCTTGCCTGGGCACCATGCCTTATCTGACTTCCAGGTAAAACTATTTTGGGTTACATGTAATTTGTAAGTCGCTCTGGATAAGAGCGTCTGCTAAATGACGTAAATGTAAATGTAGAACCCTCTGTGTAAAGGGTTCAACATGGAACTCAAAAGGGTTCTACCTGGAACCAAAAAGGGTTATTCAAACGGTTATCCTATGGGGACAGCCAAAGAACCCTTTTAGGTTCTAGATAGCACCTTTTTTTCTAAGAGTGTAGCCTGGTTCCAGATCTGTTTGTGCTTTTGCCAACACAATTGCTGTCATTGTCAAGCCAATTTTCTTTGGCATGATAGCACAAACAGACTGGCACAAATGATTGTACCCCTAAACGTTTTACCCTAAAATAGTCAAAGTTACTGGGTGTGTGTTTATTCAAAATACATAGTGATAATTGTAATGCAGTTGCATATACAAAGTTCACCCCTATCTTTTCCAACACTTGGTATGCCACACTGAAAAATGTATTCCTCTACTAGTGAGCAGAAAATGTATGTAGAGAGTCAACCTTATTTCACCTTGAGGGAAATACTAACACATCTGTTATGTTAACCTTGGATAACTTATCAGGCACAAACATTGCAGCAAAATGTATGAGACTGATTAAATACTGGCTATTTTGGGCACTGTATGATCTTGAAGAATCGTCCCAGCCCCTGCTGTTTAATCACATTTTTTCAATCATAAACATTATTGTGAATAATGATGAGTGAGAAAGTGACAGAGTAATTTTATAATTGATATTGTAATTTTGATATTGATATTTGTGCGTCTGTAACATTATTCACGAATTCATTCAGAATGATCCGTAATCGTGGGAGCATCCACATTCATGTAGAAGTGTTTAGAAACATATTGTATTCGTATTTACAATAAAAGTGACAATACATTATTTACCATTCATTTCTGTTGGGCACAAAATAATCTGAAACACAATCAAAACAAACTGCAAATGCATCCAACAAATTTGGAGTCACAAGCTTGATGTAGTCATTGCGTGCTGTGAATATGGGACCAAACACTTAACTTTTCACTACTTTAATACACAAGTGAATTTGTCCCAATATTTTTGGTCCCCTAAAATGGGGGGACTATGTACAAAAAGTGCTGTAATTTCTAAACGGCTCACCCGATATGGATGAAAATACCCTCAACTTAAAGCTGACAGTCTGCACTTTAACCACGTAGTCGTTGTATCATTTCAAAGTGCTGGAGTACAGAGCTAAAACAACAAATAAATGTGTCACTGTCCCAATACTTTTGGAGCTCACTGTAAATAGCTCTATGCTATGCCTCTCCAAATGCTGATTCTACAAGATGCAGTCTGTTCAGTATAGTAGACCACCAGTTATCTAAGGGGGCCAACACTCTACTATTATTGAATCTACTGAACATGAGTCATATAGTCATAGCATAGAACTTGGGTTTTATTATGTCAGCCTCTCTTCCCTCCCCTTGCAGGTGAACTTTGTCCTGGGCACGGGTCTGCTGTGCCTCTTCACCCAGGCCTCCCTGACAGGACGAGATCAGGCCCTGCTGATGAAGACCTGGTCTGAGCGCATGGGTGCCCTCTACAGGAAGATGAAGACCACTGGGGGGCGCTGTTCGGGATACTTCCTACAGCAGGCGGAGGAGGACGTGCGTCAGCAGCTGCAGGAGGCCATGCAAAACCGTTCAGCTCCCGAGGAGGCGGCAGCCGGCATCCTAAAGACCCTGGAGAAGAACTACGACTGGCTGCGCTGGGCCGTCATGGTGCACCCTGCCTTAGGGCCCTTGGAGGAGGATGGGGGGGAGGGCCTGGGGAACACACTACAGCCCAACCACTTCTTGTCCGTGTCATCTGAGGCACAATGCCCTCATGTGGTGGCCTGCTACCGTGACATGCCCACCTCGCTGGACAAGAGCCACATCCACCAGCTGATCGTGGACCTGGAGTGGAAGATCCCCAACCCGCCTCCAGAGGTGTACGCCGCCATCGAGGAGGACCCGGGGAAGGCCAGACGCTACCTGGCCTCTCGCATGCTGAAGAAGCTGCAGGAGGGTCTGGGCTCAGCGGTGGCCGTCCATGTGGTGCCGGGCAAGATGGAGATGAAGTGTAACTTCCCCCAAGCCTCCTACTACCTGTACGAGTACAAACACAGGCTGGCCTCGGGCACCTTGTGTGTATTTGGATAAGAGAGAGGGGGGCTGGCTAGTCGTGTGGGCTTAGGCTCAGCTGCTGCAGTGCTGCATCTGCTGGGGTTGGGCACACTAGAATGAATGCACTACTTTAAAAAAAACTCCAGATGTTCACAGTCAACTGAAACTATGTTTCCCTTTTTATTTCTGCTGTTTCATAGTTTCCAAATTTAACCAAATTTACCTTGTCTTATGTAACTGACATTTCTTCACAATAAAGGATTAGAAAAACAAAAAAAGTATTTTAATCATTGCCTGTCCTGAAATGCACTCTCAGTTAAAGCAACAATATTGTGTGGCGTTTGGGATCCACCCAGATCTAGAGTATAACTATTAGTAATCCAGACTATGGGTTGTATGATGCACAGCTAAACATATATACGTGGATTTGCTAAATTCCACGTATACATATAAAGTATAATACCATTTTAGACCAGTCTACACAGTACCAAGTCTAAGCTACACTATACATAAGTGGTCACAAATATGGGCACACTGTACTAGAGATGTATCACATCTTCCTTGTCCTGTTGTGCAAACTTTTCCATGTCCCTCCTTATATCAGGGAAGCTCTGTAGAACCATCTGGAAGCGGTCTGAGGACAGGGAGAAGAGCTGGCACGTGGTCAGAGCTCGCACCGTGGCCAAACGCTTTCCTTTGGTCATGAGGCAGGTCTCTGTAAACCAGTAAGGCACAGAACAACACACTAGAAATGTATTAAAATGCATATCAGATATACCCACTGTTCCTTGTCATATCCTGCATAGTCCCCAGATGCAATCAGCACAACAATGTAGAACAGGAGAATAAGAATAACTGGTGTTGGGGGTTGGGTCTTTTTCAATTATGCAAGAAATGGATGGAGGATGAGGTTTGACAATCAGAATTTCCAGATTACCCAATCTCTTGTGTGATGGCCTGAATAGAATGATAGTCTGAACAAATGAATGAAGGAGTGAATGAATGATGCTGAAATGAGCTACTCGAATGTGAGCCTGACCTCCAAAGTAGTCTCCGTCAGCCAGCTCCTGCGGGAATGAGTCCGTCTCCACCAGGACCTGGCCGTGCTCGATGAAGAACATGCGGTCTCCGGGCGCGTTCTGGTGGAAGATGACATCATCCTCCTGGAAGACCTCGTGCTGAAACTGGAGGAGGACGGTGTTCAGGAAGTTGACATCTCGGTTCTGGAACATGGGTACATTGTTCAGCAGGCTCGAACACATCACCATCAGAATCTCCTGTATAACACACACACACGCAAAGCTTTTATTCAGATTGTTTCATAATAAAGTTCCACAAATAGACAGACAGGTTCCACTATTAAACACAGGTGTAATAACTTAAGGAAACCACAGGTAAGTAGAATGTAGTTACGTACTTCATGTAGTTACGTACTTATACTTTCACTGAACAAAAATATAAACGCAAATAAATTAGGCCCTAATCAATGGATTTCACATGACTGGGAATACAGATATGCATCAGTTGGTCACAGCTACCTTAAAAAAAAAAGGTAGGGGCGTTGATCACAAAACCAGTCAGTATCTGGTGTGACCACGATACATGTCTTTCGCATAGAGTTGATCAGGCTGTTGATTGTGGCCTGTGGAATGTTGTCCCACTCCTCTTCAATGGCTGAGCGAAGTTACTGGATATTGGTGGGAACTGGAACACACTGTCGTACGCGTCGATCCAGAGCATCTCAAACATGCTCAATGGTTGACATGTCTGGTGAGTATGCAGGCCATGGAAGAACTGGGACATTTTCAGCTTCCAGGAATTGTGTACAGATCCTTGCAACATGGGGCCGTGCATTATCATGCTGAAACATGAGGTGATGGCGGCCGATGAATGGCACGACAATGGGCCTCAGGATCTCGTCACGTTATCTCTGTGCATTCAAATTGCCATTGATAAAATGCAATGGTGTTCGTTGTCCATAGCTTATGCCTGCCTGTCCATACCATAACCCCACAGCCACCATGGGGCACTCTGTTCACAACGTTGACATCAGCAAACCGCTTGCCATACACGCTGTCTGACATCTTCCCAGGTACAGTTGAAACCGGGATTCTCCAGCGTCTCAGTGGCCATCGAAGTTGAGCATTTGCCCACTGACGTTGCTTACGACGCCGATCTGCAGTCAGGTCAAGACCCTGGTGAGGACGACGAGCACGCAGATGTGCTTCCCTGAGACGGTTTCTGACAGTTTGTGCAGAAATTCTTTGGTTGTGCAAACCCACAGTTTCATCAGCTGTCCAGGTGGCTGGTCTCAGACGATGTGGAGGTCCTGGGCTGGCGTGGTTACACGTGGTTGTGAGGCTGGTTGGCCGTACTGCCAAATTCTCTAAAACAACGTTGGAGGCGGCTTTTGGTCGAGAAATTAACATGAAATTATCTTGGAACAGCTCTGGTGGCCAATTACACGCTCCCTAAAACACTTGAGACATCTGTGGCATTGTGTTGTGTGACAAAACTGCACATTTTTTGAGTGGTCTTTTATTGTCCCCAGCACAAGGTACACATGTGTAATGATCATGCTGTTTAATCAGCTTCTTGATATGCCACACCTGTTTTGTGGATAGATTATCTTGGCAAAGGAGAAATTCTCACTAACAGGGATGTTGTCACACTCTGGCTCCGGGACTGTGTGTTAGAGCCAGGGTGTATTTCATTTGGTGGTGTTGGGTTGGGTGAGTTTCATTTGTTTGTGTTTTTGGTGATTGGTTAATGACTCCCAATCGGAGGTAACGAGTGTCAGCTGTCGGCTCGTTATCTCTGATTGGGAGCCATATATATTCTGTGTGTTTTTCTCCTTGTGTTTTGTGGGTTTTTGTTTCCTTGTGCTATGTTCAGTCGGTGTCATAGAGAACTTCACGTATCGTCTTTTGTTGTTTTTTCGTGGTTGCTTTAATAATAAAGTCATCATGTTCACTCACAACGCTGCGCAATGGTCCGCTCATTTTGAAGACGATCGTGACAGAAAAACCCACCATCAAAGGACCAAGCAGCGTGTCCAGGAGCCGAGGGTCTGGACATGGGAAGAGTTATTGGACGGAAAGGGGTCATGGACTTGGGAGGAGATCCTGGATGGCATGGATCGCCGTCCATGGAGCGAAACAGTGGAGAGGCGACGGAGAGAGGAGCAACGGCGTCGGCAGAGCCAACGTCGGAAGGACGAGAGGCAACCCCAAGAAATTTTTTGGGGGGGGGCACATGGCTTGGGCGACTGAGCAGCAGGAGGCTGCCAGGTTAAGGGGGCTGACGGAGGCAGAGAAGGGACGGATTCAGGAGGCTACCAGGTCAAGGGGGCTAATGGGTAAAGCAGGGAAGGAAGGTGTAGAGGCACGGCGAGAGGTACTGGGGTGTGTAACCAGTTCGGTCCGGCCCGTTCCTAGTCCCGAGGTACAGCCAGTAGTGTGTGTTCCCCGTACGGTACGGCCTGTTCCGGCCCCTCGCACTAAGTGTACGGTGCGCGTCGCCAGCCCGGTTCGGCCTGATCCTGCCACCCGCACCAAGTGTACGGTACGCGTCGCCAGCCCAGCCCGGCCTGTTCCGGCCCCTCGCACTAAGTGTACGGTGCGCGTCGCCAGCCCGGTTCGGCCTGTTCCTGCCATCCGCACCAAGTGTACGGTGCGCGTCGCCAGCCTGGTTCGGCCTGTTCCTGCCATCCGCACCAAGTGTACGGTGCGCGTCGCCAGCCCAGCCCGGCCTGTCCCTGCGCCACGTAGGAAGTGTACGGTGCGCGTCGGCAGCCCAGCCCGGCCTGTTCCTGCTCTCCGCACTAGGCGTGAGGTGAGTCCCCAGGGTCCAGCATGCCCTGTTCCGGCTCCCCGCACTAGGCGTGATGGGAGTCCCCAGGGTCCAGCATGCCCTGTTCCGACTCCCCGCACTAGCCCTGAGATGCGTGTCCTCAGCCCGGTACCTCCAGTTCCGGCACCACGCATCAGGCCTACGGTGCGTCCCCAGGGTCCAGCATGCCCTGTGGCTTCTCCCCGCACTAGCCCTGAGATGCGTGTCCTCAGCCCGGTACCTCCTGTTCCGGCACCACGCACCAGGCCTACGATGCGCCTCAGACGGCCAGAGTCTGCCGTCTGCCCAACGGGGCCTGAACTGCCCGTCTGCCCAAAGCCTGCTAAGCCGTCCGCCAGACCGGAGCCGCTAGAGCCTTCCACCAGACAGGATCAGCCAGAGCCTTCCGCCAGACAGGATCAGCCAGAGCCTTCTGCCAGACAGGATCAGCCAGAGCCTTCTGCCAGACAGGATCAGCCAGAGCCTTCTGCCAGACAGGATCAGCCAGAGCCTTCCGCCAGACAGGATCAGCCAGATCCGTCAGTCGGCCATGAGCAGCCAGATCCGTCAGCCAGCCATGAGCAGCCAGATCCGTCAGCCAGCCATGAGCAGCCAGATCCGTCAGCCAGCCATGAGCAGCCAGATCCGTCAGCCAGCCATGAGCAGCCAGATCCGTCAGCCAGCCATGAGCAGCCAGATCCGTCAGCCAGCCATGAGCAGCCATGAGCAGCCAGATCCGTCAGCCAGCCATGAGCAGCCAGATCCGTCAGCCAGCCATGAGCAGCCAGATCCGTCAGCCAGCCATGAGCCGTCCAGCCAGGATCCGCCAGAGCCGTCCAGCCGGGATCCGCCAGAGCCGTCCAGCCGGGATCCGCCAGAGCCGTCCAGCCGGGATCCGCCAGAGCCGTCCAGCCGGGATCCGCCAGAGCCGTCCAGCCAGGATCCGCCAGCCAGCCAGGATCCGCCAGAGCCAGCCAGCCAGGATCCGCCATTTAGTCAGGTGCTGCCCCTTAGCTCGGTGTTGCTCCTTATCCTGGTGCTGTCCCTTATCCTGGTGCTGTCCCTTAGCCTGGTACTGCCCCTTAGTCCGGTACTGCCCCTTAGTCCGGTACTGCCCCGTAGTCCGGTGCTGCCCCTTAGTCCGGTGCCGCCCCTTAACCCAGTGGGGTGTAGTTGGGGGGTGGTAATGTGTAGGAGGCTAATTAAGTGGGTAATGACTATGGTGGGGTGGGGATCACGACCAGCGCCAGAGCCGCCTCCGTGGAGTAACACCCACCCAGCCCTCCCCATTTTTGGGTTAGGCGCGGTCGGAGTCCGCGCCTTTGGGGGGGGTACTGTCACACTCTGGCTCCGGGACTGTGTGTTAGAGCCAGGGTGTATTTCATTTGGTGGTGTTGGGTTGGGTGAGTTTCATTTGTTTGTGTTTTTGGTGATTGGTTAATGACTCCCAATCGGAGGTAACGAGTGTCAGCTGTCGGCTCGTTATCTCTGATTGGGAGCCATATAAATTCTGTGTGTTTTTCTCCTTGTGTTTTGTGGGTTTTTGTTTCCTTGTGCTATGTTCAGTCGGTGTCATAGAGAACTTCACGTATCGTCTTTTGTTGTTTTTTCGTGGTTGCTTTAATAATAAAGTCATCATGTTCACTCACAACGCTGCGCATTGGTCTCCTGTTGTAGACAATCGTGACAGATGTAAACAAATTTGTGCACACAATTTGAGAGAAATACGTTTTTTGTGCATATGGAACATTTCTGGGATCTTTTATTTCAGCTCACGAAACATGGGACCGACACTTTACATGTTGCGTTTATATTTTTGTTCAGTGTATTTTTTTTACATTTGTATACTATTATATAAGGTCTACCTAATGTAAAGTGGGACCTAAAGACACAGTGAATACTGAGAAGTTGTATAAAATAGAATAGAATATGACCGACTGAAGTACCTCTCTCAAAGCTGAGGAGACTGAAATGAGAAAGTTCTTCTCATCAAACCATCTCCCCCCATAGCGGGCCCCGTAGTACTTGTTGATACGAAGCCGAAGGTCGTTAGGAAGCTTCAAGAAGGTCATGTAGTCGTCTAGATGATTCATCTGTGGATTATCTGACATTATGGCCTTTGGATGACATGCCATTACAATCAAAAGTGATATATTAATAGAGTTCCTTGCTTATGTGATCGAGTTTGAACCGGAGTCGTCTGTGTTAGCTTTATGAGCTAAAGCCTAGGCATTAAATCTCCATTACACTTAGTATACCTTGTTCTTGTAGGCCTTTGCTGCTTGGTCTACGTTGGTTATTATGGCAGTAGCGTTGGCCACCAGTACAGTGTACATTAAAGCCCCAGACAGCATACTGGTCATGACCACCCACAGCTCCACCTCATCTAGGGAGCAAAAAACCCAGTACACACATAAATAGAGCGTAATACTTGGCTATTCAACTCCACGCACTTCAGTCTTGGAGTTGAATAGTATCAGTCTAATATACAGTGGGGAAAAAAAGTATTTAGTCAGCCACCAATTGTGCAAGTTCTCCCACTTAAAAAGATGAGAGAGGCCTGTAATTTTCATCATAGGTACACGTCAACTACGACAGACAAAATGAGAAAAAAAATCCAGAAAATCACATTGTAGGATTTTTAATGAATTTATTTGCAAATTATGGTGGAAAATAAGTATTTGGTCACCTACAAACAAGCAAGATTTCTGGCTCTCACAGACCTGTAACTTCTTCTTTAAGAGGCTCCTCTGTCCTCCACTCGTTACCTATATTAATGGCACCTGTTTGAACTTGTTCTCAGTATAAAAGACACCTGTCCACAACCTCAAACAGTCACACTCCAAACTCCACTATGGCCAAGACCAAAGAGCTGTCAAAGGACACCAGAAACAAAATTGCAGACCTGCACCAGGCTGGGAAGACTGAATCTGCAATAGGTAAGCAGCTTGGTTTGAAGAAATCAACTGTGGGAGCAATTATTAGGAAATGGAAGACATACAAGACCACTGATAATCTCCCTCGATCTGGGGCTCCACGCAAGATCTCACCCCGTGGGGTCAAAATGATCACAAGAACGGTGAGCAAAAATCCCAGACCCACACGGGGGGACCTAGTGAATGACCTGCAGAGAGCTGGGACCAAAGTAACAAAGCCTACCATCAGTAACACACTACGCCGCCAGGGACTCAAATCCTGCAGTGCCAGACGTGTCCCCCTGCTTAAGCCAGTACATGTCCAGGCCCGTCTAAAGTTTGCTAGAGTGCATTTGGATGATCCAGAAGAGGATTGGGAGAATGTCATATGGTCAGATGAAACCAAAATAAAACTTTTTGGTAAAAACTCAACTCGTCGTGTTTGGAGGACAAAGAATGCTGAGTTGCATCCAAAGAACACCATACATACTGTGAAGCATGGAGGTGGAAACATCATGCTTTGGGGCTGTTTTTCTGCAAAGGGACCAGGACGACTGATCCGTGTAAAGGAAAGAATGAATGGGGCCATGTATCGTGAGATTTTGAGCGAAAACCTCCTTCCATCAGCAAGGGCATTGAAGATGAAACGTGGCTGGGTCTTTCAGCATGACAATGATCCCAAACACACCGCCCGGGCAACGAAGGAGTGGCTTCGTAAGAAGCATATCAAGGTCCTGGAGTGGCCTAGCCAGTCTCCAGATCTCAACCCCATAGAAAATCTTTGGAGGGAGTTGAAAGTCTGTGTTGCCCAGCGACAGCTCCAAAACATCACTGCTCTAGAGGAGATCTGCATGGAGGAAGGGGCCAAAATACCAGCAACAGTGTGTGAAAACCTTGTGAAGACTTACAGAAAACGTTTGACCTGTGTCATTGCCAACAAAGGGTATATAACAAAGTATTGAGAAACTTTTGTTATTGACCAAATACTTATTTTCCACCATAATTTGCAAATAAATTCATAAAAAATCCAACAATGTGATTTTCTGGATTTTTTTTCTCATTTTGTCTGTCATAGTTGACGTGTACCTATGATGAAAATTACAGGCCTCTCTCATCTTTTTAAGTGGGAGAACTTGCACAATTGGTGGCTGACTAAATACTTTTTCCCCCCACTGTATGTTTACATATGAAAGACAATCTATTGTGCGAACAGAATATCACCAGATTATGAACAGTCCTTACTTGTTGGTGACTCCGTGGATCCATAGGATATTTGGATCATATGAGAGAGAGCCCGAAACACTCCAAAGGAATACTTCTCACCGACCGTGGCATTCTGGAAAATGCCACATTGTTTATATAGGGTGAACTAACCCTTTAAATGCAGCTGAGACCTCCTACATCTCAATACATGTGGGGCTTACCATCAGCTTCTCTTGTCTGACCCAGCAGTCAGATGGGAACTCCTCCAGCATTGGGACAAAGTACTGGATACAGCCGTTCCAGTGGCATAGCAGGAACATCATCATGAACAAAGACAGTATGCGGAAGAACAGCTGAACATACTCCAAGTTGGCATTTGAAACCTATGGAGAAAAAAACAAAGGCACACTATTAAACATGATGCCACTAAAAATATTGATTGGAATGCAAAGATAATTCTAGATGTGTATGTGTATGTCAATCAAAAGCGCTACCCCTGTACATGTTTGTATTGCTTCTTGGCCAAATGTATTTGTAGTACAAGGTTTGACTTTGTGGGGAGAGGGCAGCATACATATCAAAACGTACCTTCTCAACTTCATTGAAGAAGCGGACAAGCCTGGAGACTCTGAGGAGCCTGACGAGGCTGATGATTCGGACAAACATGAGGATCCGGACCATTCTACTGGCTTTGGAACCTGAGGTGGAGGTGTCACTGTGGGATTGTAACTCCTGTCACAGTAAAAATACACAAATACAAATACATATTTTAATTTCATGATCTTACATTAGACTGGAACTACTGTATAACACCGTGATGCTGGAACAGTTGGAGTCATTTATCATTACCGCAATTAATAGTATGTAGCCAATTGGGAATGCTGCAATCACATCTGGTATGAACCAACTCTTTAGGTAAATCACACTGATCTTTTTGATATCCAGGATAGCCACCTGTGGAATTGAATAACAGACAGTTAATGTTCAGGTGATTGATATTAATGCTTGGCAGTATGCCTCAGACAAATTAATAATTCAACCATTCAACGGAAGCTAAATGTTTTGGGATTCTGGCCAAATTTAAACGAGACAGTGATGCCATCCAGAATGTACATAATAAGCTATTAATAGAGAAGGGCATGAATATAAACTTGACAGGGTCGTCAATTGCCCAAACTTTAAGATTCATATTTTACACCAGCTTGGTCTGAAACTGAAACAGCATAAAACACAAACTGGTTCTTGATCAGCCCCCTTATATGCCCATTTCCTTCTTATCAAATAACAATGATCCACAGCCATGTTTAGTTATGTTTCATCATCTGTACACTTCACTACATATTTTCTAAGCATCTTGCTCCTAGGTAAAGTTTAAGCCTGTTATTTTCATGAGAGAATGTATTACAAAAGCAAACCTAATCTATAAATAGTTATCTGTAAATTAATTTACTTCTAAGAATCTTTATCTTCCAAATTTGGTCAATTCCCTCTTGCAAATAACAGCTGCAGGTTTAGCACATGCGCAAGGGGTTCAGTTAATCTGGCCCCTTTCGTGTTTTGAAACTAATACAGATAGGGCAGATTGGGATTGCATGCTCGTGGAAGGGGATTATAAAACTATCACAGATTGGGACTGGTCTGAAAATACAGTAAAGTCAAAGCTACGTTACCTCACTGTCCTCAGAGATGATACCCATGCGAAAATTCAGAGCCACATCCATCAGAAACAAAGTGTCTGAGAAGACATTGAAACCTTCCCAGCCCACTCCACTGTACCCATCTAAGAAAGCTATCTCCATGGGGATCCCAATCAAATTCAGGAATGTGATGGCAACCATACACATGATGTAGTAACTCCTACAAGACACAATAACAAAGGGTTTGCATATTGAAGACATGCAGACACGCAGTTCTTAGAAACACTGTTAGAAACACCCTTTAGAGTTTTCTTTGGCATATACCTAAGGTCTTTGCTGTCTTTGCTAACTTTGCTGTGTTGTGCTTTGACAGACAAACAAAATGCCAAGACATCTCTAAGGTCTACCTTTGCTATGTTGTTCTAGGACAGACAAAATGCCAAGGCAGCACGAACAGTAGTTAGAGAGAAGAATACCTTATGGGGCTGAATGGGTGGATGACCCAGACTCCACTCTGCAGCTGGCGTATACATTCCTTCTCCACAGCTATCTCGCTACCGTACACAGATAGAGACTGCCTGTTCAGCTGAGGCAGAAAGACAGCTCTCCAACCACAGGTGCTGGCTGTGCGTCTGCCGACAGGGGTTTGGGAGTTCTCCATCCCAGAAGAAGCACACAGTTCCTCTGTTCAGCCGACCGCGCTGGCCATCCTTCCCTGGGCTGCTGAAGAGTCGAATCTAACTCTGTGTTTTCGGTCACAGGGTAATTTTCCATCACTGCTCCTGTGGCCGCAGCTTATTGAGGCGGCGTGGTGGGAGGAGAGTGGCTGCCAGACTCTCTCTCTCTCTCTCTCTCTCTCTCTCTCTCTCTCTCCTTAGTAATTGTAACAGTTGACCATTGAATATGAAAATGAATGACTCTCCTTTTGGGCTGATCTGTTACCCGCCAGCATCTCCTCCAGTAAGAGTGGAATGAGGCAATCTCAGAGTTACACACAAGGGAACTTTATTGCCATACACAGGCCCGGCTCCAGGCGACCGCTTATGTCGCTTATGGCCCCCAATCCCCCCCCTAACCCCCCCCCCCCAAAGAAAGCGAAAAAAATCTCACTTAGGGCCCACAACAAGCACAAGCTTTGCACACTCTTGACATTCTCTCAACCAGCTTCATGAGGTAGTCACCTGGAATGCATTTCAATTAACAGGTGTGCCTTCTTAAAAGTTAATTTGTGGAATTTATTTCCTTCTTAATGCGTTTGAGCCAATCAGTTGTGTTGTGACAAGGTAGGGGGGTATACAGAAGATAGCTGGTTAAGTTTTGATGTAAAAAATAGTAAAAATAAAGAAAAACCTTTGAATGAGTAGGTGTGTCCAAACTTGACTGGTAGTGTATATATATATATATATATATATATATATATATATATATATATATATATATATATATATAAACATATATATAGGGGATTGGAAATGATGCAGACAATTACATTGATGGAAGCTACACTCTATCTGCAATATTAAAGTTGATCTACCCCCTAAAAATTTTTTTTGGGTTGTTGATCATTGGTAGACAACCATTTTCAGGTCTTGCCATAGATATCGAAGTAGATTTAAATCAAAACTGTAACTCCTCCACTCAGGAACATTCACTGTCTTCTTGGTAAGCAACTCCAGTGCAGGTTTGGCCTTGTGTTCTGGTTATTGTCCTTCTGAAAGGTGAATTCACCTCCCAGTGTCTGATGAAAAGCAGACTGAACCAGGTTTTCATCTACGACTTTGCCTGTGCTTAGCTCCATTCTATAAATTTTTTATCCTGAAAAACTCTCCAGTCCTTAACAATTACAAGCATACCCATAACATGATGCAGCCACCACTATGCAGCCACCACTATTGTTGCAAACAGGATGCATGTTGGCCTCATAGTGAAATCCTTGAGCGGTTTCCTTCCTCTCCGGCAACTGAGTTATGAAGGACGACTGTATCTTTGTAGTGACTGGGTGTATTAATACACCATCCAAAGTGTAATTAATAACTTCACCATGCTTAAAGGGATATTCAATGTCTGCTTTTTTATTTTTACCCATCTACCAACAGGTACCCTTCTTTGCGAGGAATTGGAAAAGCTCCCTGGCCTTTGTGGTTGAATCTGTGTTTGAAATTCGCTGTTAGACTGAAGGACCTTACAGATCATTGTATGTGTGGGGTACAGAGGTGAGGTAGTCATTCAAGTTAAACACTATTATTGCACACAGAGTGAGTCCATGCAACTTATTATGTGACTTGTTAAGCACATTTTTACTCCTGAACTTATTTAGGCTTGCCATAACAAAGGGGTTCAATACTGATTGTCACAAGACATTTCAGCTTTTCATTTTTTATTAATTTGTAAACATTTTGAAAAACATAATTCCACTTCGACTGTAAGGGGTATTGTCTGTAGGCGAGTGACAAAAATTTCAATTCAATTTGATCCATTTTAAATTCAGGCTGTAACACAATAAAATGTGGAAAAAGTAAATACTTTCAGTAGGCCTATAGCAGGGGTACTCAAGCACTATTTGAGATTGCCAGGTCACACAAATGTCCTAGGTGGCAAAGGTCCGGATGGATATTGTCATTTATCGGTGTAGTAACAAACCCCCAGCTCACAACCCATGCGACCCCAAACTATTTAAACTGTTCTTGTTGGCAGAGAGAAAAATTAGCAGTTTTAAAGCTCATTTTCTGCAATTCTACACATTTCCACATCTTATAAGTGTTCATATTATACCAGTAGTCAAATCCTGACAGAATTCCAAAAATAAAATAGAAGCTGTCTCAACTTGTCTTTCTCCTGAAATTCTTTGAGGGTGCTGTTCAGATGAACTTTGAGGTTGGTTGGGTTTCCCCCTTTATCTCTGTTCCACACCCACTGCCATCTTCTGACACTACAATACATTTGCTTTTGTCCTTTCCAGCAATGTACTCAAAATAATCCCATATAGGCAAGTGGCAAGGCCCCCATAATGTTGAGATATAAAACATAACCATGTTTTTCCATATATGAAATGGATAGTTGTGTAATTTTTTTTTACTGCAAAAGTGGTTACATTTATAGATATTGTGACACACTCCCTTAACTCAAACAGTGCAGAATAATGCATGGCTGGCTGGAGGGAGGGGGGCCACATAAACTCATGTAAACTCATGTATTGCAAGCTCTGATATTGCTAACATTTGGAATACAAGTAGTCAATTGTCTGCCCTACATAAAGAAACAAACAACATCATCCCTTTCCCCCTTCGAAGAAAAAACAAACAAAAAAACGTTTTGGGGGCTTTCTTTATCTCAGGCTCTATAGTAGTCACGTTGTTGCTGACACCTTTATCAGAATCCTACAACAAAAAATTTAATGTAATTTGTTACATGCTTCGTAAACAACATGTGTAGACTAACAGTGAAATGCTTAAGGCAGAAATGCTTACAATGCAGAGAGAAAAATAGCAAAGTTATAGAAAAACAGGTGGTCCTGGATGGCAGGGAACTCGGCCCCAGTGATGTACTGGGCCGTACGCACTACCCTCTGTAGCACTACCCTCTGTAGCGCCTTGCGGTCGTATGCCAAGCACTTGCCATAACAAGCAGTGATGCAGCCAGTCAAGATGATCTCAATGGTGCAGCTGTATAACTTTTTGTGGCTCTGAGGGCCCATGCCAAATCTTTTCAGCCTCCTGAGGGGGAAGAGGCATTGTCGTGCCTTCTTTACTACAGTTGTGGTGTGTGTGGACCATGCTAATTCCCTAGTGATGTGGACAACCGAGGAACTTGAAGCTCTCGACCTGCTCCTCTACAGCCCTGTCGATGTGGATGGTGGCGTGCTCGGCCCTCCGTTTCCTGTAGTCCGCGATCAGCTCCTTTGTGTTGCTGACGTCGAGAGAGAGGTTGTTGTCCTGGCACCACACTGTACAGTTCCTACCTTTCTAACAGTACTAAATGCGTTTGTAGGACATATAGTTTTGAAACCGAAATGTACTTTATTAGGGTAGTATACAATATTATGCGTTGTTTAGAAAATACCATCAGAGGGCGTCAGAATTTACTTAAAAAATACTTTACCTCGTTCAAACACTTGGACACCAAGTTGAGGATGTCCTTCTCGTCAAACCATTTTCCTCCACAGTGGACCTGGTATTAGTCAGTGATGCTAAGCCGCAGTGTCTTGGGAAGCTTTCTGTAGGACATGTAGTCTTCCAGATGATTCACCTGTGAAATACCACAGGACAGGACATGACAACAACCCTCGATAACCATTAATCATTGTTCTGTCCAAGCCTTGTTTTACACTATTTCCTGTGAACACCTTGTTCTTGTAGGCCTTTGCAGGGGCATCTACATTGGTCATCATGGCAGTAGCGTTGGCCACCAGTACAGTGTACATTAGAGCCCCAGACACCATGCTGGTCATGACGATCCACAGCTCCACCTCGTCTACAGATAGGAAAAGTAATATTTGATTGAATTGATGTAGAGCTTGTCCTCCTGGTGCACGAAGCGCTTTACATTGTATGAGGAAACTCACCACATCCACTATCAACAGATAAGAACCATTGGCACCTAACTAATAATAAAAGGTGTCCATAGGTCTATGCATATAGTATTCAGTATAACCCTACTGTATCTGGAATTAGTACTTCTGCAGATACTAGATTTCTATATAATCAAGAGACAAAATAAGTATGTCAGTCAGAGGAATACTGCACAACTTGCAGGAAATTCCAAGATGGATAAATTATTTGACACCAACCTGTCGGCGGATCATTGGATCCATAGGAAATGTGGATAATGTGGGAGAGAGCACAGAAAACATCAAAAGAGTACTTCTCTCCTCCGGTGGCATTCTGTAAGATAAAGGAGTCTTTGTAGTTTCTACAGCTGCACTACTGAACAACGGTTTTGTAGCACCTCTTTCAGACCCAACCCTAAAATTGTGTTTTCTTCAAAATATGCAAATGTATATGATTGAATATGTCACTGAGGCTCACTATCAGGTTCTCTCGTCTGACCCAGCAGTCTGCAGAGAACTCCTCCAGCATCGGGACAAAGTAATCGATACAGCCATTCCAGTGGTACAGCAGGAACATCATCATAAACAAACATACACTCTATGACCATGAGTATATGGACATCTGCTCATTGAACATTTCATACCAAAATCATGGGCATTAATATAGAGCTGGTACCCCCTTTGCTGCTATAACAGCCTACACTCTTCTGGGAAGGCTTTCCACTAGATTCGGGGACTTGCTTCCATTCAGCCACAAGAGCATTAGTGAGGTCGGCACTGATGTTGGGCGATTAGGCCTGGCTCGCAGTCAATGTTCCAATTTATCCCAAAGGTGTTCAATGGGGATGAGATCAGGGCTCTGTTCAGGCCAGTCAAGTTCTTCCACACCGATCTCGACAAACCATTTCTGAATGGACCTCGCTTTGTGCACGGGGGCATTGTCATGCTGAAACTTTACAGTTGGCACTATGCATTGGGGCAGGTAGCATTCTCCTGGCGTCCGCAAAACCCAGATTCGTCCTTCGGACTGCCAGATGGTGAAGCGTGATTCATCACTCCAGAGAAGCGTTTCCACTGCTCCAGAGTCCAATGGCGGCGAGCTTAACACCACTCCAGCCGATGCTTGGCATTGCGCATGGTGATCTTAGGCTTGTGTGCGGCTGCTCAGCCATGGAATCCCATTTCATGAAGCTCCCGACAAACAGTTATTGTGCTGATGTTGCTTTCAGAGGCAGTTTGGAACTCGGTAGTGAGTGTTGCAACCGAGGACAGATGATAATAATAAATAAATAATATGCCATTTAGCAGACGCTTTTATCCAAAGCGACTTACAGTCATGCGTGCATACATTTTTGTGTATGGGTGGTCCCGGGGATCGAACCCACTACCTTGGTGTTACAAGCGCCGTGCTCTACCAGCTGAGCTACAGATTTTTAAGAGCTACGCGCTTCAGCACTCGGCAGTCCCCGCTCTGTGAGCTTGTGTGGCCTACCACTTCGCGGCTGAGCCGTTGTTGCTCCTAGATGTTTCCACTTCACAATAACAGAACTTACAGTTGACCGGGGCAGCTCTAGCAGGGCAGAAATGTTACGAACTGACTTGTTGGAAAGGTGGCATCCTATGATGGTGCAACGTTGAAAGTCACTGAGCTCTTCAGTAAGGCCATTCTACTGCCAATGTTTGTCTATGGATATTGCATGGCTGTGTGCTCGATTTTATACACATGTCAGCAACGGTTGTGGCTGAAATATCAGAATCCACTAATTTGAAGGGTGTCCACATACTTTTGTATATATAGTGTATTATCCTGAAGAACATCCAGACAATGTTGGCATTAGACACCTATAAATAAAAATAAAAATGTATATAGTATACAGTGATGGGGAGTAGTGAACTACATGTAGTTCAACTAATAATTTAATTACATTTTGCAGTAGCTTTGTGGTAGTTGAACAAAATGTAATTATTGGTAGTGTTTTCAGTAGTTAATTACTTTTTTGCCATGTAGTGGTGTAGCTAACTACTGGAACTACACACTACTTTTTCTTTCAAAAAGAACAGAAAATACAGTGCCTTGTATTCCTACCCCTTGGCGTTTTTCCTATTTTTTTGCATTACAACCTGTAATTTAAATGGTTTTTATTTGGATTTCATGTAATGGACATACACAAAATAGAAATTTGTTTCAATAAATTCTAAAAAATAAATCATGGAAAATTGGTGCGTGCATATGTATTCACCCCCTTTGCTATGAAGCCCCTAAATAAGATCTGGTGCAACCAATTACCTTCAGAAGTCACATAATTAGTTAAATAAAGTCCACCTGTGTGCAATCTAAGTGTCACATGATCTGTCACATGATCTCAGTATATATACACCTGTTCTGAAAGGCCCCAGAGTCTGCAACACCACTAAGCAAGGGGCACCACTAAGCAAGCGGCACCATGAAGACCAAGGAGCTCTCCAAACAGGTCAGGGAAAAGTTGTGGAGAAGTACAGATCAGGGTTGGGTTATAAAAAAATATCTGAAACTTTGAACATCCCACGGAGCACCATTAAATCCATTATAAAAAAATGGAAAGAATATGGCACCACACCAAACCTGCCAAGAGAGGGCCGCCCACCAAAACTCACGGACCAGGCAAGGAGGGCATTAATCAGAGAGGCAACAAAGAGACCAAAGATAACCCTGAAGGAGCTGCAAAGCTCCACAGCGGAGATTGGAGTATCTATCCATAGGTCCACTTTAAGCTTTACACTCCACAGAGCTGGGCTTTACGGAAGAGTGGCCAGAAAAAAGCCATTGCTTAAAGAAAAAAATAAGCAAACACATTTGGTGTTCGCCAAAAGGCATGTGGGAGACTCTCCAAACATATGGAAGAAGGTACTCTGATCAGATGAGACTAAAATTGAGCTTTTTGGCCATCAAGGAAAACGCTATGTCTGGCGCAAACCCAACACCTCTCATCACCCCGAGAACACCATTTCCAGGTTGTAAGGCAACAAAATAGGAAAAAATGCCAAGGGGGGTGAATACTTTCGCAAGCCACTGTATGGGTAAAGTAGGCAAGATTTCCTTTCTTTTTCGGCATCAGACCTACCTAATTCTCACTTGAAACATAGTTTTTGTGTTTAATAGGCTAAATTACACATTACATTAACATCTGTCTCCAGAGTGATCTGTTTTTGCATTTTGTAGTCTATGACATTTCAGATTTAGATATGATAATTTTTCACGAAGTAGTTTCGATGTAGTGAACTACTTTTTCAAAGTAACTTTAGTGAACTATACTGTATGTTTCTTAAGAGGGTAGCTCTAGTGTAGCTTAACTTCTTCCAGTGTGAAGTAATTGGTAGCTTGGTAAACTCTATTTTCAATGTAGCTTCAAATTACTGAAATGCTTTCTAAGTATAGTAACAATCAAATTATAAACGGCTTACTATAAGATTTCACCTTTCTTATAACTTTAAAATACATATTATTATATTTAGTGACAGTACAAATTTGGCCCCATTTCATATAACTGACGACAGAGCATTTTCTGCCCACAATTCGTTACAACTTCAGCTTTACGCACAAACGAAAATTGAGGGCAACATCAACCAAGAACAGGGTGTCTGAGAATACATTCAACTTTAAGCACACCCGGAAGAGCGAGGGCTATCAGGTTCTTCGGAAAAGGCAATTTCTATTGGAATGCAAATGAGGTTCATGAAGGTGATAAACACCATGAACATGACATAATAATGCCTGTAAAGATTAACAAACACAAATGGGTTAGCCAACATGTTGAAGACAAATCACAACCAACCTTCTGTCTTTCTTGCCAACCCTTACGAAAAAAGATTTCAGTCAGAGTGCAGTATAACTGCAGTACACTGGAGTTAGTTATAGTGCAGTATAACTGCAGTATGCTGCAAATACTGCGTCCAAAATAACAATTTTTTTACTGCAGTAATTTTGCAGTGTAACTGCAGTATAACTGCAGTTCAAATGCAGTACACTGCAGTTATTCTGCAAGTACTGCGTCCAAAATACCACAGTCGACTGCATTTACTGTACTTTTCAAAACTGCAATCTTTTTTTGTAAGAGCATACAAAGTTGCAATGAACATGTGGACATTTTTTATTGAACTGTTAACATGCCCAGTGGTAGAAAAGTATATTTTAACAAACAAAAATAAGCTTGTAGCTAGCTAATCATTATGTGATTTATTACATGTTTATTTCAGAGGGGTCCTCGACCTCAACATGTAAAGACCAACAAGAAACAAGGTCTTAGTACCCCAATATGGGGCAAGCTCTGTAGCTAGCATTAGCTACAGTGCTTGCCCCATATTGGGGTACTAAGACCTTGTTGCTAGCTAAGGTAGCTAATTTACCAGCTGTGCCCATAGACTTAGATAGACATCGCATCAGTATCTGTCCCATTATGGCGTCCGTGAGAGCAAGGGCAGCGCCATATGTTTCACTGGATATATAAACCTGAAGCATCCGGTTGGCATTTCTATTCACCACCAAATATGGTGATGAGAGGAAGGCCAGTGGCCGGCAGTGGGAGAAGATGGAGCGAGACATTCTGCAAATTTTCTCATCCATCAATGAAATATTTGATCTCAATACAGTTCCCAAAACTATAATCTGTTACGAACAGAGTGGACTAAGTTTTGTAGACTTTACCCTTTGGCAAAGTTGAAAGAAAATGGCATTGTTTAGAAGGAGTGCAAGGGAAAATTGAGTTATTGTACACGCACACTTCACAGAGAAGACGTTCCCTGAGGGAAATATTATTATTATCCGGGTGCGGTTAAATATGCAAATACCTGCTAGAACATGCCAATAGGATCTTGTTAGCTAGTGCTTGGCTCTTCCCACCTCCTTGCTTGTTCTGCACACTATGATTAATTTGCTCCCACTGGAAACGACAGGCTGTGGTCTAACTTGGGTTAGTTATACAAATGTTTGTCAGCGCAATTGAGGCCATCTCCATTTTGAAGTAGTCAATTTTCTTCTTATATATGAGTTGGCAAACTAACTGAAAGGGTGCACACTGTGTGTTGTTTGAATAGATATAAAGACAAGGTTGGTGATTTACTGACACCTACAGTTATGGAATGTTTCATAATGTGTTTGGAGTTACCTTTCTAGCTAATAGACTATGTTAGAGTTTACACTTCCTTTTCTAATTATAATGTGGGTAGGTCAAGATAATGAAAAACTAGCTATCAAATCTATTCATACATTTTTGGGGGGATTAGGCATACTTCTCCTTGCCGTTATCATTCACCTTATGATAAGACAAGACATGAAAAACGTATGATGGGGGTCCCTGGGTTGCCGATTTGCCTGGGAGTGGGTCCCTGGACAAGAAAAGGTTGACGACCACTGAAGTATGGGCAGAGAGGAAGAGGTGAGGCAAGAGGGTTTACTCCGCCCAAAACCTGTCCACGTAAATAAGACCACGAAGTGAGGAATTTTTGTATGGAGGTCAGTGAGAGAGTGTTGAATTTGGTCAATGAAAAATATAA